TTGTCGAAACAATATATAGACGACTATACCGCGCGACAGAGTTGCCAGACTGTTTAAGACATTTGTTTATTTAAAACGAATAAGAAATGTTGAAGTTTGTTAACTAAGGAAAATTTCTTAAGAAAAATCAAAAATTGACAAAAAATTGATAAAAATTTATTTAACTCATTATCATTTCATTTATATTTGCTTCTGCCGACGGATAAAATTGCAGTTGGTTGCGGGGATGGTACATGCATTTATTATGATTATTTGATGTAACTTTCGCTCTGTAGTGGGACTGTTGATTCGTGTGCTGTTACTGTTGAGAATCAGAATTAGAAGCAAGCCTAATGACATGTTTAGAAATTTCGCCTAATGTGATTACCAATAGTAGCTGTGTTAGGCCCAGGGAAACGTCTGCGCTGAAATTGTCCGCTATAGGTAGGAATACTGCGTAAATACACAAAACTACTTCCTGCATTACACTGCTTTGTTGGGGTTGCTGGTGGGGATTATCTACTAAACCATTAGAATCATAGAGAATATTGTCCATAGTTTCTAAGCGATGTCCGCCGATTCCGATTATAAGATGTACCTTGAATATTGTGTATGCTGTTGTTGCTCAGCAGCTAAGGTTTGCAGAATTTGTTGCTGTTGCTGTTGACCATATGTAAACCATATGTTTATGTAAGTTCCACATAATGGCTTCACGATCGCGATGAATCAAACGGGGATTGACTAGTCATGTTTAGAAATTTCACCTAAATTAAAACATTTATTTGCTTATCCATCGACGCATTACTTACACACCTAGCTTACCTTTTGATAAACCGATCAGCAGCATTTGGGCTTCTGGACGACTTAAAATTCCCTTCAGTTGCAATGCAGTGAAGAGGACAGCTTTCTGCTGGTGCTGTAAAAAAAAAGTTGTGTTTACTGTATGTCTAGTGAATCGTCATCGATGACTGCATAATGCTTGGTTTTTGTTGATAAAATTGTCTAAACAGCGAATATGCGTGATTTTCGTCATTGCAAGAAGGAGTTTGCTTGTATATACACTAAGTGTCTAAGTGGCTTACGAATTTTCGAATGTTTTCTGTACCTCCTTCTTTCGCATCGGCATTAATACTGTTTCCCTTCTTAGGACTAGTGTGGGTTGTAGTATGAGTAGTATGAGCACTGAAGGGATTTGCGATAATTTAACATTTGATTTTGAGCCAGAGCGAATAAATATGGCAGATCAGATTTATTTTGTGTATTCATTGTATTCTTGAAAAAGTCACTAATCGAGGCTGATGAATGGGCTTTTGGAATGTGTGCTATTTTGAACGTGTGATGACCATTTTGATTCAATCTATAGAAATTTGAAATAAATACGAAAAAGTTTGAATGTACGGATATAATTTTTTGAAATTCAGGAAAATATAAGAAATTGTTTACCAAAATAAGCTTTTTGAATTTTCTTGTGTACCGTTGTTTTTTTCTGGCAGTAAACTTTCTCGATCGTGGCGATCATTCGAAATTGTTCAATACCTAACACATTAAGAAGTAATGCTACTTTCTGGTTACTCGTTTTATAGTTTTAAACGATGGGAAATGGACTTTTAATTATATTACGATTTGGGCTCGTTTCACCATAAAAATGCACATGAATGGTCGACGTCGGCTCTAATCGCATTTTGGTGATCCGTAATCATAATACTGCAATCATTTTCCAAAATGTGATTAATAATACGAAGCATATCGTCTTCAACGCCCGGATCTTGCGCGAACTCTAACAATTCAAATAGTCCACGATAAAAGTATACGGTTTTAAAACATCATAAGATAAAACCACAATCCTAATGACGCATGTTCCCATTGCAATTGCATTTTTCCAAAGCCTATTTTTCTGATAGCCTATGAATTCCGTGTGAAACGAACAAATCATCATTTGAGGCTATGCATGAAAGAATTGCTTTTCTTCGTTCATTTCATAAGTCCACATATAGATAGATGTAAGGAGCAAAGCAGCATACAGTTCAGTTCAATTTATTTCAGTGTTTTTAACGTTTTTGGGATGTGTGGTTAAGTCTTATCGCACAGAAGAAGCAATCTATCTTATGTTATCTATTGACATGTTGTAGCGCATTCCCTTCAATGTCAAACTCGAGTGTGCCAATTGCTCTCTGGAAGTGTTTTTTATACCCTACACCACTTGCGGTACCGGGTATATTATACTTAGATGTTGCTCATGTCTTTGTTCTGTCTCTCGGTATATTAAGCTACATACAACTAAAAATCCGAACATTACTGGTTCCAGATAGTTCTTGGTGGCAATATCTTATTCATGTTTAAAAGACGATTTCTCTTCGCTCTCAGTTCCATCCGTTGATACTGGACCAATTATAAATATTGTGACAATATATCCTCTGGTGTAGAAGAGCTGTAGTCATACATTGTCATTGTAGAGTAGGTCTGCTATAAAGAAAGTGGATAATAGAAGTAGAATATTTGTCTAAATTTTATAACTTATATTGAATAGTAAGGTAATGAAATTTGAACTTATAAATGATCTGAATCAAATAGAGACTATATTCCTTCACAAATCCTTCTATTCGTCTCATATATCTGCACTCCTATATGAGACTCTAATACATATACATATATATTTACTATCTTCACGCTAATACATATCTTAAATTGCTGTTGTTGCTCTCATTGCTCTGTATCAACTTAAAATTATTCGAGAAATAAACAAAATCCCAAAATATTTAAAATAATAAAAATCTTCTAAAAAATAAAGTGCCATAAAATGAAATAAGAAGCCAATTAAAAAACAAGAAAATACAAAACTTCCTATGAAATGATTTTGGTTACGTCGCAGACGCGAGAGGACGCAAAGTTAATCATTAACTTTCTTAAGGCTCGTGTAAAGAACTTTATGCTTGAACCTGTTCTGTACAGTCCAATGAGCCATCTATTGTTGAAGAAAAATTATTAAATGAAAAATAAGTATGTTATAGTTGTGGTCTGATTTTCATCACGAAGCGTTGAAAATTAGACCATGTATCATTCGCAATTTTGCTCACTTCACGTAAATTACAACATTGGTAAAACGATTTTTATTAGCGTTCCGTTTCTCTAAACCGCTGTTTCCATTACCGTCACTAGCATTAGACTTCTCTTTAGTTTTACCAGCAACGGCCTCTATTGCAGACGTTTCAGAAGACGGATGGGAACGCAATATTGCGCAAATTAAAAGGTTGCAGTGCTTTATCCCGGGCCAAAGAAAGTGTTGGCTGGCATTCTGCAGTGAAATCTTATTTAACCAAAATCTCGGTAAAGTTTCATTACTTATTGCAGATTAATTTTAATGCCACGGCCCGAATCCAGGAAATATAGTTTTGTTACTTAATTTTCTTTCATTAGATGTCATGGCAGAGATCCTCTTTGAAGTTAATATAAAGTTTTTTACTTGCTAACTATGCTAAGAGTCACCGAAATAATTCGAGCACCGGTTGTGCTGTTTGTTACAGCCGACCTTAATATTTTCACCGTTTTACCACCAAAAATCAGTGCTCCTTAGCACGTAGCAAGTGTTGACAATTTTCGCAACTTGAAACATATAATAAAACCGAATCTTCTGCGTTTAAACGACGGAAATGCACTTTATTGGAAGAAAAAAGTAAATACCCAGTATAACAAAGATTTTGGATGAAAGAAACTTGAAAGAAATTATAAAGTAAGGCAATAAAAACTTTCTTTTGCTCTGAATTACAGTCAGTCTGTTGTGGAGCTAGGTAGGCCGAACGAGCTTTACTCCTAAACGTCTTCTCCAGTTTCTGAACTTCTTTAGCTAAGTCCGTTTACATTATAATTTCACGCCAATCATTATGGGAAAACATATCCATTAAAGCAACGAAAGCTTCGGACGATCTCCAAATATCTTCTTCCTGGAATAAATTTCGAATTATTTGCAAATAATTGTTCTTATTAAAAAGGAGTTGAATTCTTACATGAGTGGAAGTTTCAACACGAAACGTGTAAGGAAGCAGACATCGTTACCGGCTCCGATTAAAAGATTTGTTGTGTAAATATAAATAAAAATAAATAACGTTGCGTCACCATCTTGTATGCTTCTTGGATTCCATAAATATATATTTTTGATCTAACACCGAAGTATGTTCAGCGAACAAATTTTCTTGGAACGGACCGCTGGACCGACCTGAGCGAAACCCAAGCTATAAATAAAACCCCGTTACAAACGAAATTATTAATTTTACTATTGTTCTGCTAATAGACGGTCTAGTGTACCCAACATACGTAACAAATTCGCTCAAAATTTCGGCCATCGAACAATTTTTCACGCTACCTAAAATAAGCTAATAATGATTAGAAAAACTTAAATAATATTCATCGGTTTTTGAAAGACAACTTCGAATGTACCTCCAAATCTTTCTAAGCCTTTTGCTTGAAAAGCTCTCGACGGCTCATTGAATGTTCCAAAGCCGAACGCATCTGAGATGTGGAAGGCTCCATAATTGAATAATCCTTTGGACCTTTGAATACACGCTGTCCCAATTCTAGCCAAAGACTATACAAATTCGCAAATTTTTCGCTGCAAGAGTGAAGTTCAGCAATTATATCAAAAATTAACAGGAGTGGATAAAAATATAGACGCACTTAATAAGTAAATTTATAAATGTTTCTCGCAGTTGACTTGAGACGTCGTCACTTAGAGGTTGTGCCCGTTGCCAAAGCTGATTGATTCCAAATTTTTAGTTAGACAAAATATTAGATGAAATATTTTACAAGCAGTACCAGTTATGTCTTTAATTTTATTATCTGTTCAACTGTACGCTTTTGACGGTGAATTTTCTTTCTGACAAGATTGTCTCCTTAGAGGTAGTGGAATGCTCTTCTTACCAAAGGTCGACAAAAATTGTATACAGCACCTATTTGAGCTAACTCGCATGAAACAATTAGCTGGAAGTTCCTGCTGGGAGAAAGGTATATATATACATTGATATTGAAAACAAAAGCAGTCTGGCAACTCTGTCTCGGGGTATAGTCGTCTATATTTTGTTTCGGCAATTAATATTTTAATTGTTTGTTGAATTTCGTGGCTATTTTTCTTTACAGTGTGTGAATTTATAATATACTTTGAGAAGAAAGTGCCGCGAATCCAAAGTAAAAGAAGTATTTTTTCTTTACGCTTTGATTCATTGGTTTTTTACAAACAAAAATTTTGAACTACCCATATCCTATAACTAACTCGGTTTCAACACCTAACTTGGTTATTTCGGAAGATGACGTTTTTAAAGGGTTGAGTTCTCTAAAATATAGCTGTTCGCCTGGACCTGATGGTTTTCCATCATGTGTACTTAAATCGTGCGCTGTCGAGTTATGCGGTGTGATCTCGAAGATTTTTAACCTGTCCTTGAATTTAGGTGTTTTCCCTTCATGTTGGAAGAGTAGTTTCCTTATTCCTATCTACAAGAGTGGAAGTAGGCAATTGGTTGAGAACTGCAGAGGCATAGCCAAGTTGAGTGTCTTGCCCAAGTTGTTCGAGCGTATTGTGGCTCAGCATTTGGCCTTTGCCATTAATTCGTATATTTCTCCGCACCAGCACGGCTTTCGGAAAGGGCGATCTACAGTCACCAACTTGTTAGAGTTTACCTGTCAAGTTTTCAAAGCTTTTTCTAGTGGCTCTCGCACAAATGTTAGTTACACTGTTTTAAGGAGATGAACTATGCTTTGATGAGAAGCATAGATGTGCCGAAACTCTCACCTCCCAGCGGTGATCCCCGGGCAACGGCTTCGGCCGGCTAAGAAGAGTTTAAGGTTTTGGGCTGCTAACTCGGCGACGAGTTTCTGAGAGATGGTGGAGGGGTTGGCTGGAAGAAGAGCTCTTACTCAATAAGCTAGTTACTACCGAGGAAATATATTGAATGGTATTTAAGTACAATGAAGGTAGTAATCTAGCGAGTGCATGGTAGAGTGCATTAGACTAGTCTACCATGTTCAGTGCAATACCCGAGACCTATATATCTTGAAGAAAAGTAGTTCACTTGGGGCTGGCAACCAGGAAAGTATGGAGAATCCGAAGCAAGTACGGTTGTTTTTAACAACCGCCCAAAGTATGCCATAAGGCTTTGCAAAACAAACTGGGAGCCACGGGGGTCAGGAAGCTCGCCTCACAAAGCCACGTATGCCTGCGGGTATATGATGGACTTTGTCCTTAAGTCGTAATAAATAAATAAATTAATTATACTATTAATGCAAAAAGGAATTGACGGACGGCCTTCCCTTTGGCCGATTGATAGAAAATGTCTGGTAAATTAATTAATACATGCAAAAATGGAAAAGGGATATGACGAATAAGTTTTCCCCTTTTACCTATTTTTACTTTTGAACACATGTCACGGATGCCTGCGGGTAATGGTGGTAATTGATCAACAGCACAGTGGAAGCCTTATGGCGGAAGCAGTCAGTTGATCAATTTGTGAGTCCTGACTGCTTGGGTGCGGCCCTTCGGGGAGTATTTGTGGTGGTTGTGGTTGGCGAGTTCCTAGCTAAAATGGAACAATTGAGTGCAGCTAGGCCTCGCCATTCACCAGAGTGGGGTTTATTATTCCATACACAATAAACTGTTCTGGACTCTGGTGCTGTTTAGGCCCCTACTCTGTGGGGATTGTCTAACTCGCCAGGGGGCGTAGTACGCTTAAAAGTGGCTTGGGCCACCGTGGGGTTAAGCCTTTCAGGCAGGAACCCACGCCACAAAATTCTGTTTTAAGCAAAGCATTTGATATGGTTAACCATAACTTACTTATCTTCAAACTCCAAGTCTCTGCCTTCCCTTTCTATTTAGTGAAATGGATAAGCTCTTTTCTGCACAACAGATCCTTCAAGGTTTTGTTTAACTTCATCACCTCGGATGAATTCCCCGTTATGTCTGGCGTACCTCAAGGAAGTCACTTAAGTCCCATTTTATTTAGTTTATACATTAACGATCTCCCATCGGTGGTTAATTCCAGCAAGATCTTAATGTATGCTGATGATGTGAAACTGTTTTCTTCCTTCTCTGTTGAATCCCAATCACATCAGCTTCAAGGTGACTTGGATAATTTTGTTGCATGTTGCTCTATGAATCTTCTGAAGCTAAATCTGAGTAAATGTAAGAAGCTTTCCTTCTCAAGAAGAAAGTCATTCATTACTCAGTATTTCATAGGTTCGCATAAGTTGGAGGACGTCGATTCGATCACAGATTTAGGCGTTCATTTGTTTGGTTAGACCCATACTCGAGTATGCCTCAGTTGTGTGGTCTCTTTCATATGGGTGCTACGTAGATTCAATCGAATCTGTTCAAAAGCAATTCTTGCTATTTGCCCTTAGAAATTTAGGTTGGGATACGTTTGCCTCCCTATGAAAATAGGTTGCTTCTGCTGTCCTTACCGTCTCTTGAGAAACGTAGGTGTGTTCTTGGCGTTTCCTTTGTAATCAAAGTAATAAATGGTGCTATTTGGCTCGCCTTCCTTACTTGGTGAAATAAGCTTTAATGTCCCTAACCGCTTCTCCAGACGCTTTATCTTGGTTAAGCTTAGTCAATGTAAATATAATTATGAGCTGTTTAATCCGCTCAGAGTCGTTTGCAAGAATCTAAATAAAGTCTATTCTCATTATCGGACTCTTTAAAGTCCATTAAAGCAACATTGCTTAATACGCGCTATTTACCTATGTCGTACTTAAACTAGCTTTTATCCTTAAAAAGTCGTTACGATTCGAAAATGAATTATTGTTAATTATTATCGGTTGCCAAGCTTATGCATGTTTGCGATGGCTTAGGGGTTCATTTGCAATTTGATCCTGTACCAGTTGTAAGTGTAGCTGCATGCTGATGGTGTACATGCTTTTTTTCTTTTTTTTTTCTTCCTATTTGTTTTATTATATTTATACTAAGTTTTATTATTAATTAATAAAAGTTTTGCATTAAGAGCCAATTGAACTCGACTGTTATTTGTTTAGTTGAGTTGCATGTATAAGTAGAATTAAGATAAATAAATAAATATATAAAAAAGATTGTGAAAAATTGATAACAATACTGCCCTAATCCGTTAAAATCACTTATACATTGCTGAGAATAGGTAAGAAGCCCATTTGACTTGACTGACTATTTAGAAATGCTGTGAAATTTTTAGACTAGTGACTATGTTTCGCAATTAATGCCAGCTGAACTTGAAATATTCTTGAAAGGTGATGTTAAAGGAGGTCCGTGTCATTCAGGTACAAATAGACAAGCTAGAAGATATTTCGAATGATTAAAGATAAACAATTAGCTGCGTAGAACACGAAATACATAGAGTTATGTAAAATAAATAATAATAATAAACAAATTGGACGCTTATTCTCACATTTTTCGAATTTTTGAGAATATTTACGCTTATTCTCGTATGTGGCCAAATTTGTATACAAATACTTGAACAATTGTTCAACAAATGTAAGCAAATTGGATGCTTATTCTCACATTTTTCGAATTATTGAGAATATATACGCTTACTCTCGTATGTGGCCAAATTTTTGTACGCTTATTCTCGTATGTGGCCAAATTTTTATACAAATACTTGAACAATTACTCAACAAATGTAAACAAATTGGACGCTTATTCTCACATTTTTCGAATTATTGAGAATATATACGCTTACTCTCGTATGTGGCCAAATTTTTGTACGCTTATTCTCCTATGTGACCAAGGATAGCTCTGGCTTCGGTTGTGAACGTTGAGGTACTTTCGTGAAAAATGTGATTGAAAAAAATCTGCCCTGTAGCATCTAGCACGGCACAAGCAGGAGGCAGGCCAAAAGATTTTGAGCCGTCTGTGTATAAAAGATTCCAACCAGTACTCTCCAATACTAGGGTTTTTACAGCTATTAGATTCCTGAAGACGTAATTTGGAGTATCTTCTTTCTTGTGCATAGACAGTGAGATGTCAAAAGAGCAATATTTCAAGATCCATGGAAGTTTAACACCAAAAGAGCGGGAAATTTTTAAGGGAATGTTCAATTCCTTTGCGACCTACAAACAATAGTCAATATCAAAGTTATCGTTTGCAATAGCAAACAGTCGGCGTATCTTCATCGTATTTTTTTTATATAACATATATAAGATATTTATACAATTTGTTTAGTAACTAACATAATTTAGGTAATCATACATCTATATCCCCAAATTATAAATTAATCTCCCTTTTCATTAATACAGAGATATTGATATTGTTTTTGCTATCGAAAGAAATAATATGAATTAAAAAGAAAAGAAACAGAATATATGTAAAAATGTGTTAAAGTAGTTTCCAACCTCGGTGTATCCTATTGCAAATTGAAGGGGATATAGGTTGGGTAGGGTAAAGAATGGCCCAGGGTTTATGATCTGCCCTTTGGGTAAGTAGGTTTCGTCCACTCGCTGTTGCGGATAAGGGCCAAAGACGTGTATTTCGTTCCTACTATCTGTGGAGTGTCCGTGGAACAGAAATTTAAAACCTTCCCATACCTCCCGAACTAGCCAGCTCAGCAACGAAACGTGCGTCTACGTCTACAACCTCCGATACTCTTCAAG